CTACTGAGGCTTCCGGTTCCCACCAGGGACTACTCTGCTTCCTTCCTTATACTAAGAACAGTCATGAAACTGTAGATTCTCAGAACATTTTCCATCTGTGGAAGTAGTAAGGTGGTTGTCCTGTTCTCTAAACTTGGCTAAATAATATTTATGCCCCACTACTACACACCCATACTAATTTGGTACCAGGAATTGAACCCAGAGGCTCTTAACCACTAAGTCAAATGCTTAGTTAAATTTTAAGATAGTTACTTAGGCCCTTGTTAAGTTGCTGAGGCTGGCTTTGAACTGCCTCAGCCTCCTGAGCCTTTAGGATTATAGGAATGTGCCACCATGTCCGGTTGCCATTTGTTGTTTGTAAGCAAGGTGTAGTATTCAGTGTGGGGCTCTTTATGACATTAGGATATTTAATACCTGACTTTAAATACATTCAATCTATAGTTTGTTTTTATGTTGTTTTCCCTGGCAGTTTAAAAACTACATATGTATGTCAGGCATTGCTTCTAATTAAGTCAAGGGGTTTCAAAACAAAAAGGGGTTTTGCATATGAGTTGAACTTATGAAAACCACAAATTTTTGTTGTCTTTATCATTTAAATCTACCATTTGTTAGTTAACTCTTGTCAGGCACAGTACTATATATCTATATATATCTATATATATATATGTTATACACATGTGTGTATATATATTATACATATGTGTGTATATGTGTGTGTGTGTGTCCAAGTCGTCTTTGACCAAAAGACTATATATATATAGTCTTTTTAAGAAAAATCTGTAAAAACTAATGTTTTCTTGTTTTGAGAGGTGGGAACTGAAACTCATAGGTTAAGCTACTAACCCAAGGTTACTTAGAAGTGATGAACCTAGAAGTGACCTCAGGGCACTCTACCTTTCAAGTCAAACCTTACATTTTGCAGGCTTTACAAATAATTTCATTCTGACAGGGAGGACAAGTTATTATCGATTGGGTGTGGCAGCAAACTAATAGTAGTTTAAACAATTTGTGGGCTTTCAAAGACAGGAAAGTCCTCAAAGCCGGAACAGAGGTAGAGCAACCATGGAGCACAGTGGAAGTATTACCTGTGGTTTGGGGTGTCTGCCACTGGGCTCTGCTTCTCCAAGTGGTAAAGAGAAGAGGAGGAGGGAAAGGACACATGCTGCAGGGGTTGGGCTACCTGGGCAGGGACTGAGGCTGGGGATGTGACTGTGGTAAGAAAAGGAGACTCACACACAAGCAGAAGGAGATTCAGAACGGAGGCAGAATGCGTGCAAGGATAGAATAAAGTCCCAAATCCAGGCTTCTTGTTCTATGAGTCACAGGGCTTGGCTGGGCCCAGGCCAGGTGTTTCAACCACTGAGCCTATTTGTGAACACTAAATGCCTCATGTTCCAGGAAGAAGCACCTTAGAGTCTAGTGATTGGGAATGATTTGATGGTTTCCAGAAGCATTTTTCAGAACTCTGGTAGTCCTTTTCCTGTATTTAAGCAGGAGCTCTTAAAAAAGCATCATTCTGACTATTGACTTTGCACTGATAACTTTTCAGGATCTCTCTGTGTGCATGTGTTTTGTTAAAGAATTTATTTGTAACCCTGACATCCATTTCCTTAATCTGAACCTTATTGTTAATGAACATTTCAAAGTTAATACTTGAGCTTAATGTTCTCTGACAGAGTAATGAGTTACCTGTTCCAGAAAGACTGGTCGAATGGGTGCAGTAACACCTGCTGCTTTGCTTAAATAGGAGGAGGAGTTAATTGGAAATGAAACAGTGAGACTCGAGTTTGAGTAGGCTTTGATACTAGCAACAGGTTTTGGTAATGTATTTACATTGTAAGGTAGCAAGCACCTTGACAGGATAATTTTTCCTGGTCGGGACGGGATAAGCCACCTGAAAAAGTCTCAAATGGCAAAGAAATAAAAGGCAAAGTCAGAAAAATAGTTTTAAATGCAGAGTGCCTGATGGGTCCAGCCCACACAGGTGCTAGAGCTGAAGAATTAGAAAATGGCTCCAGCGGTTTATTTAAGGGGGTACATCAAAGGCAAGGGTAAGGTTTCAGAGGTGGAGTCTTGCGTAGTGATGTCTTGCAGTCCAAAGGTTGATTGGCATCTTGGCGGGTTACACACATCTCAAAGAGGCTGTGTGACTACAGCAGGTCACCCCATCTCTGGTGCTGTGTGGGACCTTTTTGAGCAGAGCTGAGGGGAGTTCAAATGTATCTGGGCCATCTTACAGCAGAATTGCCTCTGTTAAGTTCCCAGATAACCAGACTTTCAATCGGCTTCCATGCAGATCTGATCAACACACACTTCACAGGAAGCTCTCAAAATATTTATGCGATTTTATTTGCATATCTAAAATATCATGGCAATTTTCCTTTCATGTTATAAGTGGGAAGTATTTTACAAGGTGGTCTTTCAAAAGGATGATAGGAATGTAATGAGGAGTCTTCCACTGTGGTGATTGCAAGGTAACTGCCATTTTGGTGACTTCTTCACAATCTTTATGAAAGCGTTCATGGATTATTTCTAGGGAACTTGAAGCAGCATTCAGAGTTCAAGTTGGTGCAGGAACACAAACAGATGTTATGCATTCTAATGTTGGAGCTGGATCAGGAGTTGACGCCTTGCTTCAAAGTTTTCTGGTATAAGACACCACGGTTTCCTCACTTACTTTTTGATAGAAACCAAATTTGTTTTATGTTAAGTCAGTTCATTCATAAGGCATTAGTTGAAGACATATGGCATGACAGCTGTAAGCTCACAGTATGGCAGAAGAGACAGATGGTTATAGAGCTGATCTGCTATATGATACATGCTAATCTAAGGGGGACCAAATATATAGAAGAGGAAGACAATGTGGAAATCAGTAAGATGGAAAAGTTGGAAAGAGTATTGTAGGAAGAGGGAAAAGCAGGTACAAAACTGTAGAGTGCATGGAAGATTCTGAGAGTGCTAACCACCCTGGTGTCATGTATGGAAAGGACACTGATGGCTTTGAAGAGTGAGGAGGCCAGTATGAGTGGGGTTGTAGGTAATGAGATTGACTAAAAGTGTTTTTAGGAACAGGATGATGAGAGGAGGCTGTGTTTTAGAAACATCATTCTGCATACAGTTGTAAAGTGGACTGTGAGGAGTGGGTGATTGAACCATAGGAAGGAAGAGTGATTGAAAAACGTGAACTGATCAACAGTTCTCTGTTGGTTTTCTATGGTACAGTCTCTCATGTTGCCTCTGCTTGGAATGATGCTTTGGCTGTTTTCTCCTATCTGAATCAAACCTCACCCATCTATCTCCCTTTGCTAATTGTGGGGAACCACCTGTGAGCTACTTGAGGGGTCTTTACATGGTACTGAGTCATGGAGTCTTAGGTGTTTTTCTTGGGAACTATCCCAGCTTTCCCATGCATATCAGACCGTCCCAGACCATCTGTCTTCCCTTACTAGTGAAACAACTCTCATAGCTCTGGAGTTGGGCGTAACCCACTGGGAACTGGACAGCCCACCTCCCACCTTATTTGGCAAAGAACATTCCATCAAAAACCTTTGATGTTTCCCCATATAAATAAAGCAAGCGTGGGCTTCATCACTCTCTTTCCAGTGTGGAAGCTCATTCCCTTAGATTGAAGAACCGTCCTGTCTCCGCTTTTCAAAATTACTTCTTGGGTACTGTGGTTTTTTCCCACCGTTTTCTCTTTATTATCTTTTATTCTGCAGTCAGCTCATTCCATGAAGAGAGATACCAATTCCATCACCTGTGCAAGAGCTAACTTTTATCCATTTGTCAGATTTCTGGTTACAAATAACCTTCCTAGGGTAATTTCATGATTGCCCAGTCTAAGTCCAATTTATAAATATATGTATATACACACATACATATGTTTGGTATATTATTAATAACCATCACTGATGAATGTTATTATATTTGTTCACAGATACATTTCTAGAAGCATATTGTAGAGAATAGATATTTGAAAAGATGATTACGTTCATAATTATCCATTCACAGCACAATTTTTTGTAACTCTGTATATAAAGTATGTTCACACCAAATTATGCCATTATACATGAGCTCTCATTTTTTTGCATACAATTCTTAATACACCTTTATACCACCATTTATCATATGTCTGTTTGTATATAAGGTATGTTGACACCAAATTCACATCTTCATACATGTATTTTGTATAATGATGACCCTCTCCTTCCATCATCCTAGCAGTTTTCTAATTCTTGTGCCTGAAGTCACCTCCTTCATCTGTTCACATTTCTGGAATATGCAATAACTAAGAAATGCACAGTGTTTTTTTTTTCTTAGTCTGAGTAAGAAGGATATATTAGCTTCAGGGTTTTGATTTTTCAGGTTCTATTCTTTTTTTTTTTTGGTACCAGGAATTGAACTCAGGGGCACTCGACCACTGGGATACATCCAGCCCTATTTTGTATTTTATTTAGAGACAGGATCTCACTGAGTTGCTTAACACCTCGATTTTGCTGAGGCTGGCTTTGAACTTGTGATCCTCCTGCCTGAGTTTCCTGAACTGCTGGGATTACAGACATGCGCCCCACCCCCCAGCCCAGCTCTTATTGCTAGTCTTTTTTTTTAATATTTTTATTGTTGATAGGCTTTTCATTTATTTATGTGGTGCTGAGAATTGAACTCAGTGCCTTACACATGCTATGCAAGTGCCCTTCCACTGAGCCACAACCCCAAACCCTTATTGCTAGTCTTAATGACCTTTTTTTCTCTTCCTTGCAAATGTGGTCCTAAGATAGTCTACTAGACATGTCCTAAAATTAAAACTAATCTAGAAGATTCCAATTCACTCCCCATAGAAGAGTCAGATACATGTTTATTTCACTTAGGCCTATTTTATTCTACAAAGAAATCAACATATGGTGATAAGATTAGGCAAGGTGTGATGGATTTCTGGGAAATGAAATGTATCTCTTAGTAAGAAAATGCATTAAAAGGTATTTTGGAATCAGAAGATGGATTCAACATTTTCCAAAATGTATAAATTTAAGTCTTTCATCAGTTTCCCTGTAGAAAGAGAAAAGCAAGAAATAAGAAATGCTGAGCTCATTAGCATTTCATTAGCATTGAAAGTTCACCAGTAAAAACCCAAAGTGGAAAAGTCTCCCACTTACTGATGTTTTTAAAAGGAATGACTATATTTTAGCAGTATTTTCAAAACTGGTGCTGATTACATAAAGATGATACTCAAAAGATATCACAATTAGTTTATATCCTTGAAAATATTTTAATTGACTTTTTTTAATTTAAAGGAAACATTCATTTAGAAGGTTTTTTTTCAGGATGCATTATAACTTTTCATTAAAAAAGAACCAGGACAGTATGTCATGAATTTTAGATTTGGTTTCATTTCATATATATTTTGTCCTATATATTTTGAAAATACTTATAAGAACCAATATTTTTCTAGACTCTTTTTTTTTGGGGGGGAGGGTGGGTATCAGGGATTGGACCCAGGGACACTTTACCACTGAGCTGTAGTATATCCCCAGACCTTTTTATTTTTTATTTTGAGACTTATTCTCTAAGTTGCTGAGGCTGACCTCAAACTTGGATCCTCCTATCTCAGCATCCTGAGTCTCTGAGATTACAGTGGAGCACTATACTGTTCCTAACTCTAAACACTCTTGGATATCACTCAGCATTTCATGTTTTTTGATCTGATGCTACTCAAAGGTTATTTTTTAACCTTTGAAATGCTTTTGCCTATTTCATTTTAAAATATATTTTTTACTATATCTAAAATATACATTTCATTGAAATATCATACTGTAAAACAGATCAAATCTTTAGGTTTTTTTCAGATATGGTCCCTTTTGTACAATCATTAGGGGAATTTTTGCATTTCCAAACCTAGTTACTGAAGTTGAAAATTAATATAGCTCATTTTAACAGATGTGGATTGATATGCTGAGGGAGGGGGGCGGGCATTCCTTGCCTCTTGAAATAAGCATGGACTATGGGATTTCTTGGTGACGTCTTTGTACAGAGTCTCTACATAATATATTACAAGGTGAAAGTTGAACTAGATGATCTCAAGTTTCCTTCCAATTTGGAGATTCTAGGCTTCTCTGATTCTGAAGCTTAATTCCACAAAAGTACCCATTCTCAAGGAATTACCCAGAAGTATTCTGTATGAATTACCATGATACTTGTCTTTTTCACTCATAAAGTTCAATAGGAATGTTGTAAGAATAATTATTTTACTTTTAAGAATGAATGTACATCAAAATACATGGGGATATGACACCAGGGACTTTCAAATCCTCTGAGTCACAGGGTTCTGATTTTCCACAGTCAATATGATATGTTTCCCATAGTTTGTATGCCCTGAACTATTTCTCTAATTGTGGTATTTAGCACATAACTTTAACTCAAATATAAAAAAATATAATATTTCAGTACTTACTTAACTTTAAAACAAAAGATACATTCATTGGAATAGGTTTTGCCATCAGATCCACAAATTGGTTCATAGACTAGAGGACAAAATCTTAGTTCTTCTGGTGGTAGGTTTCTATAAGGAGTGCAATTAACCTAAAAACAAACATTAAAAGTTCAATTATTTCAATCACATATTTATTTCCAAGGATTTAGTATTTGCCAAGCAAGTCCAGAGCAAGTCCAAGTAAGTCCATGCATTTGTTTATTAGTAAAATTGTTGGTCCTTATCTAATCCATTTTAGATATACCATGTATAAAGATATTTTATTTTGGATAGAAAAATCATAAGCAGCCAGGCATGGTGGCGCATGCCTATAATCTCAGCAATTTGGGGGCCTGAAATAGGAGGATCACAAATTTGAGACCAGCCTTAGCAACTTAATAAGGCCTTAAGCAACTTAGTGAGACCTTGTCTCAAAATAAAAAAAATAAAAAGGGCTGAGGATGTGGCTCAGTGGTTAAGCCCCTGAGTTCAATCTCTGGTACCAACAAAAACAAGAAAAAGATCATGAGCAATAGACATCTTTATATAGTTGGTTATAAAATCATAATTTATTTCAAAATAGAATTTTCTCACTACAGTGGTTGATTCATCAGTTCTCAACACACATAGCATATCCACAAATGTACCCATTCTCAAGGGATTACCCAGAAGTGTTCTGTGTGAATTACCCTGATACTTATCTTTTTCACTCATAAAATTCAATAGGAGTGTTGTAAGAATAATTATTTTACTTTTAAGAACTAGTGTACATCATTGGTAACTTTTAACATTAGTTATTGGTTATTCTCTTGTACACTTGCTATACATTTCACCAGCACACAGACAGACGAATGTATTTTAAATTAGAGTTAGGAATAACAGTTCTAAACTCTGGGAGCAAAGTCAAAGCAGTGATCTACCTATGGGAGTAGGTAGAAAATTTCTGAGAAAGAGTTTTCTGGATTTGTTATCTTTGAGCATACTGAAGAATGTGAACAATACAGTCAAATATGGAATTAAAATTCTACTATATGACCCTGGGGCAGTTACTTCACCTCTCCAATCTTTAGTTTGTTTACCTGCAAAATGAAAGTAGTAATAACTGCATTGTGAGGTTGAAAGACAAAATAAATATTGGAGAAGACATGTGTACAGTGCTTAGAACTACATGGCATGGAAAACACTGAAAAAATAATGGCTGTTGTTTTTGTCCTTTGTCTTTACTTCCTGGACGGCACAAACTCCAGTTCTGTAAAACATATTCTGCATCTTCAGCTCATTCAGTTCTAGAATTCCAGAAGCAGTATTGTACTAATTGTTTATCTCTGATGGTATAACTGGAAAGTGCTCAAACTCAAACCTGAATTCACCTTTGCCTCCAGATATGCTCCACTCATAAATTTTTTCATTCATCAATTGCTATCCTCCATGTACCTCCTACATTTAGGGAATGAGTTGAGTGTTGCTGATGCAAGGATCAATAAGCATGACACAAAGGCAGGAAGACCTCAGGGGCTAGTGTAGCAGGAGATAGTGGTGCCCCTGATAAGTCCATGCCGGCCTGGCTTTACTTCCCCTTGATTGCTCAAAGCCCAGAATTGGGGTTTGTGTGATATAATTCAGACAGTGACTACCAAGTGCTTAACCTTCATTAACCCTTTTCATTCTCACAACTATTAGATGGTGAAGGATGGCTTGAATTGGGGCCTGTAGGACTAGGCTTATATCTTAACCTTATTATTTTTTAATAGATAAAATAAAAGATTCACAGACATAAAAGAAATTGTCCGGGCCACAGGGTCACATAGTTAATAATCAACAGAGTTAAAATGAGTACTTAAAATGCCTGAGTGTTGGTTTTTTTACTACTATACCCAGTTTTTTTTCCAGTGGGGGAGTGAGGTTAATGTGGTTAATGTGATTGTGTGCCCAGCCAGACTGCGGCATTTGTGCCCAGCCAGACTGCGGCATAATAGAACCTAGTAAAACTGGTGCTATTCTTATATATTGCTGTTGTTTTCTCTTTATGAGCCAGAAAGCCTAAGATTTTATGAATACTTTCACTTTTATAGTTTGATTTTCATAACAAAGTTATCAGGTAGCCATTATCATTGCTTGTTCTGGTTTACAGATAGGGAAGTGAAGTCTCAAGGAAGTTCAAAAAGTTCACTGAAATTGATATGGATCAAGAATAAGATGGTAACATTGCCCTGAGCCACAAGCACATGCATGTTTAGTGACATTTTCTATTTAATATGGTACACTCCAATAGACCAAAAAAATTGTGCTTTTCTTAAGCCATGCTGTATTTGAAACTTTTTAAAAAAATGCTATAAGAACACTGATATTATGTAAATTTTTAAATAGAGTGACTCTATAAGGAAAAAAACTAAGTAAATAGCAAAAAGATCAGTAGAGTAGAGGGAGGGGAACAGGAAGAGAAAGGAGAGTAGGAAAGAGGGAAGTACTAGAGACTGAATCAGAGCAAATTATATTCCATGCTTTTATAATTTATGTCAAAACAAATCCTAACGTTATGTATAACTAAAAGAACCAATAAAAAGAAAAATAGAATAAAATCAAGAAAAAAGAATATCTTGAAATTAGCTCTTGATTTTTGATAGACAGAGATGGTAGGGCTGTCTGTATCACTAATGGAAGGAATGCCTTTTGGGGGCTGAGAAACTGAAATTTATACTTGTGTCCCTTTAAAAGGATAAAGGTAGATGGAACTCGTGGTGGGATGGTCTGAGACCAAGCATCATAATGTTCCTGACATAAAACTGAGAGTCTTGTACACCTGAATTTATTGTTAGCTCCACTATATCTATATGATTTTGTACAAGTTATTTATCTGCTATATGTCTACTTTCTTTTTCTTCATTTTATCTTTAATTAAATATTAATGAACCTTTACTCTGTGCTAGAGACAGTATTACACCTTGGGCATGCCATGATCAATGAGAAACTTGTAGTTTCCCTCATGTAGTCATAAGGACTCTCCTCCACCAAACTTTCATCAGCATCCTCTGAACCCTTTTCTTGACTAGGCTTTGACCTTGGACCCTATCCTGTTTTTGGCCTACCCCCAAACAAAAAAATCCCATTAAATTATCCCAGCACCATTGATATCTGATCATGCTTGATACTTGATCAAGTTCCTCATCCTCCATCTTTGATATAGGACATTCTACCTTAGCAAGAATCCTGTTAGGTCAGTTTAACAAAAATCCCCCTACCTTGATGTTTTCTTTGAAGTAATTTTCCATTCACAGATCCAATCCCTTCTCTTTGGCTATGAATCCTCACTTGTCCTTGTACTTGGAGTTTAGCTTAATCTCTCCTCTCTATTACAATACTCTCATTGTAATAAGTCTTACATAAATCTTCCTTGTTGTCTTCACAAATGTCAGAATAATGTAAATAAACTTTCGGGATAAAGTTAATGATACCTCCACCACAACCTCACTGTGCATTTTAAATGAGGTCATAAATGTAAAGTACTCATATCTAGCTTGTGACAAGTTATGAACACACAAGAGCTTTTTGTGACAATGATCATGATGATAAAGGCAAAGATGGCATCTGTGATGTGGAGAAGAGACTCAGAAATCACTTGGAGACTATTTTAAGGTAAACAAGTTCTGTATGTTTGTGGCCTGATTGGAATAAAAGATCTTGGCATGATAGATAAAGGAACTTTGTGATGATCAGAGATGTTTGACAATGACAATGAAGTAATAAGAACTTGTCATTTGAAGTGTCCCATGAGTCTGGGTGGATACCTGTCAGAGCCTCTGAACAAGTGATTCCTGTATGCATTGTGACATGGACTCCATCCATATTTTCACAGAAAAATAGATATTTTATAACAATTGTAATAATAACAAGAATACTTACTGTGAAGGTACTATGTGTCAGATACTATTGTAACTGCTGTATGGGTATTTACTCGTTTAAATTTTAAAACAAGTTTATGAGACAAAATATTATTACTACCAGACTTTAAAAATGAATAAAGCAAAGCACGGAGAGATTAAGCAGTTATTCAAGGTCACAAGAGCAAGCAGAGAAGTTGGAAACATTACATAGAAATATGATATATTAAACAGAAGACAGAGAAGCTCTGTTAGTTGAAGTGGGAATGAGGGAATGTAGTGGCCTGGGGTCTAGTCCCCATTTTCCCACTGTGATCACTGAGTAATGCTCATAAAATCCTCTAGGATACTTGGAATAATTTGAAAATCACTGATCTAGATAAAAAGTTCCCCAATTCTAGAATTATGCTGTGATAAAATTTCATCATTATGAGACAAAATAAGATAGTGTTATTACTTTTTCTTTAGTATGGGAATCCTCTTCAAAACCTCTCTGGATTTAAAAAAAAGCCAACAACTTTATTATCTTATAAGCTTCCCTGTGAGGTGAAACATTGGTATAGGTGATCACTGACATTTCATTTCTAACTTGAAGTGTGTGTCATTTCTTGATCGCGAGAGAAGGTGGTCTTGGCTTATTGTTGATCTTTTCAGGAATCAACTCAGAAAGCAGGTGGCAACACACAAGTCATGTGGTTTTCTGGGGAGTTTTCCTGTCAGTCCTCATGTGTAGTGAGCCCAATAAACTGCACCAAAAAAATTTAGTACAGTTTTAGGCCAGCCCATGACATTTCTTGAGGAATTACAGATTTTGGAATAGAAAGTCTGTTTAACATGATAACCTGTTCCCAAGGAATCTTTCAAAAAGCCTACTTACCTTAACCCCTTTTATTTACCACTGCTGTGTGCCACCCTTCCAATTGTTATCTTCTCAATGTTCTCCTCCTCATCTGTCATGGAAACTCATCTAGTTCAGATTCTAGAACATGTAGGCATTACTATTTCCTTCTTAGAGAGGTGAAATGAGGTTCAGAGTGGTTAAATCATATCTTCAAGGTTTCCGATTATATTACTTTGTATTGGAATTCAGAGTAAGTGTCTCAAAAACTCCAGTTCATCCTTCTCCTGAGAGGGGTAAACTATTTGGCAGGACCAATTTTCTTAAAGTCATAGTTTAAGAAATACCAAACATCCAGGTCCATCATGACTTAACAGAGTCTCACTTTATACTCTAGAAACAGATATTCAGTGAGGGAAGTTCTACTTGAGGGATGTTAGGTGGACTAGAGCCCTAAGACACACAACTCTTTTAAATGTTAGTATAGAAGGGAGAGAGGATGGTCCAGACACAGCAGTTCCCATAGAGGTTGAGGGCTTTAACAGGGGATGCTCAAAGCCAGGGAATAAGAAAGTTATGTGAATTGAAGTCCAAGAAGACACAGCTGAATTTCAATATTTAGATACATGTCAGAGGAGGAGTAACATAAAAGCGACTCTATGATGAGTATCTGAGGATTGGGCTGATTGGTTACTTAAGCCTCTTCTCTGGTGAAAAGTCATCCCAGCATCTGCAAGGGTCAAGTGTTCACCTATGGGAAAAGAACCATTGCAAAATCTGGGAACTGGGAAATCCTTGACACAGAATCACTTGAGCTTCTCAGAAATATTTTCAACACAGTGCAGTCTTGTCTCATCATATAAGCAAGATCTTTCAGGCAGCCCCGAGTTTTATAACGAAAAACAAAATGAAATTTGAACTGATACTATGAAATTGTGATTGTTTTTCCAAAAGAGTCCTCAAATTTTTCTTTTCTTTTGTTTAATTTCTATTATCCTTTTAATGTTATAAAAATTAACATGTGAAACTTATGGGGGGGTTTGCTACCAACTCTTTTACATTTTTGTTTATTTTATGTGACAACAGAACACATTACAATTCTTATTACACATATAGAGCACAATTTTTCATATCTCTGTTTTGTATACAAAGTATATTCACACCAATTAGTGTCTTCATACATGTACTTTGGATAATAATGAATCACGTTCCACCATCATTTCTAACCCCATGCACCCTCCCTTCCCCTCCAACCCCTCTGCCCTGTCTAGAATTCGTCTATTCCTCCCATGCTCCCTCTCCCTATTCCACTATGAATCAGCCTCCTTATATTAAAGAAAACATTTGGCATTTGGTTATTTGGGATTGGCTAACTTCACCTTAGCATTATCTTCTCTAACTCTATCCATTTACCTGCAAATGCCATGATTTTATTCTCTTTTATTGCTGAGTAATATTCCATTGTGTATATGTACCACATTTTTTTTTATCCATTCACCTATTGAAGGGCATCTAGGTTGTTTTCACAGTTTATTTATTGTGAATTGTGCTGCTATAAACATTGGTGTGGCTGTGTACCTGTGGTATGCTGTTATGTTAGGTAATTAGCAAGTGGGAAGAACTGTGTGGTTTATTTGAAAATTTACTTAAGAACACAGCCTGTGTTGCCTATCCTTCCCTAGTTCACACAGGATTGATATTTTAAAGTCACTTAGTACCTTGCTCTTGAAAACTGGTCTCCTTCATTGGAACAGGTTAATCAGATTACCAACACCTGCTTTTCATGACAAGCAAGAAGAACCAATTTTTTAAACTTTTAATTTTTTATTCTGAATTTATTATTATAAGAATAAACCAAGAGCTTCACATATACTCCTCATCTCAGGATCTCATACCTATTTTGGTATCTATTCCAATGCCTTTATAGCAAAATAATCTAATATTGCAAGACTTAATATTATTAAGATAACAGTATTCTCCAAATTGACTTACAGATTCAGGACAACCCCCACCAAAATCTTATCCACCTTTCTTGGAAAGATGAACAAACTCTTCTTAAAATTCCTGTGAAAATATAAATTGTGCAGAACTGGTAAAATAATCTTGAAAAAAAAAGGAAGTTGGAGAACTCATCCTTCCTAATTTTAAAATTTACTACAGAGTGATAGTAGTCAGCACAGTGTGGTATGACAATATCATATAGATTAATGTAATAGAAATGAGAGTCCAAAATAAGCTGTTACATTTATGGAGAATTGGGTTTTTAAAGTCTTATTTTATTTTTAACTGACAAGTAATAATTGTATACATTTATGGGCATCATGTACTCACGTATGATAGGCGAAGTTCAGCTACTGAGCTATATCACCAGCCCGCTTCATTCTTTTTTATACAGCCAGTTTTACAGATGTATAGTGATATCTTGTTGTGGCTTTAAATTACATTTCTCTGATTATTAAAGGTGTTGAATGTTTTTTTCCTTATACCTGTTGACCATTTTGTACACTTTCTTTCAAGAAATGTCTGTTCAGGTCATTTGCTCATGTTTTAATAGAGCTGCTTGTTTTCATGTTATTGAGTAGCTTGTGTTCTTTGCATATTTTGGATATATGGTGCACTGATTTTTAACAAGAGTGTCATTATAATTCTTTAGAGAACAGATTTTTCAAAACTTGGTGCTAGGACTACGGGACAACAATGAAAGAAACCATATGCAAAAATTAACCCAAAATGGATCTAAAACTTAAATAGAAGAGCTAAATTGGAAAATTACTTAAAAAAAAAAACAAAGTATAAGTCTTCATAATAATTAAATGGCAAATTCAGATAAGGAATGATTATCCTCTTAATTTTTTAAGTAAGGAGATTCTTGTAGATACCACATGACCTTCCTGGAAAATGTTCAGGCTGGGGGAAGCATGCTTGATTTCTGTACCAGGTTTCCTGTGCTTTCTGAGCCACTTGGTGGGACCTTAAGATGAAGACAATGATGATGAGGATAAAATAAAGCTATCAAGGTACAAAAGCTGATGGTCACACAAATACATGAGCAAAACTGAACTAAATCATTTTTTCTTTTATGGCCTGAACTTGGAAAGGTAAAAATTTATCAGAAATCCACTTTACACTCGTTTTTGTCTAAGTTAGCAGCTTTCCATGTAGTGAAGATTAACTTTGACTTTTCCTGGGAAAATGGAGGAAAAAGGAATTGAACACATATGTGCCATACATGTAAATATGTGTAAACGTCCTTGATTTTAAACAGCTGTTGGTGGTCTGTGATCATCAATATCACCCGTCAGTGAGACTAATTTGAATCACTCCTATTTTTGGTTGTTCATATTATAAACCCTGATTCATTAACTAAAATAAGGTATTAGAAAAATGCTCATTAAATTATTTTATAAATGATAAAGTTATGTTTGAAAAGAAAATTTAAAAACTTAAATGGATGCAGTAATTTCAAAACAACTTTTAAAACTTGATAGATAATAAATGGAGTCAAACTAATCTTATGCTTGGAACTACCAAGAAGATATAGAAAAAAAGAAAACTGAGTGAAAAAGACAAAGACCAAAAGTTGTTCTTTTAAAATACTTTATATAGATTGAATTTAAAAAATATATATATATAGTAAATGTGAAAAACTATTTTTTTTGTTTCTTATTACAAAATTTGGGTGATTTAGCACTCACCTGTTTTTCTCCCAAAGTATGCTTCTAAATTTTCCAGACAGGGAATGCTCATAGATGAGGAGAGACTTTCTCACCAGAGGAAAGCCAAAATGCCAAAGTGAGGAGACTCAGACAAGACGTGTCATTCTTGTGAAAAGGTTACTTCTTTAGAGTGGGCATGGTGTTGAGCAGATGTTCTGTTTAAACTCTTCTACCAAAGGTCATATTTAAATGAATGCAACCTCACAGTGGCTACTGTGTAGGAGTGTTATTATGGTCCAATTAGGAGGAGAAGTGAAAGCCAGTTTCAGTTCTTACTTGCCAAGAAGGACTCCAGTTCTGCCACATTGGATTTTGCTTCTCCAGATCAGGTTTCACTTTCCTAGTAATCTCATGATTTTTCTTTTCATGGGGACCCTGTTATATTGAGGGGGTTAGATAACTATGAGTTTTCTAGTGCCTAATGTACACCAACTAAATATTAAGATTGTTTAGGCTTCTCCACTTTGCTAAATTATAATAAATGGGGTGGAGTCCAGGCATCTTTATTTTAACAAGTTTCTCATTATTCTTATGCAGCAAGCCTAGCACTTGTAAATACATTATGTTTATGTTTAATAGTGTTTCTATATTATAATTATAGTCCTTGGTGTGTTAGGCTGCATTAATAGAAGGCAAGGATTGGTAGGGAGGCAACAGTTTTGATTTCTCTGCATTCATCAGACAAAAATTGGGTGATTAGTCAATTTGGGGGTAACATACCAACAAACTTTAAAAAGGACAATGCCTGAGGCTGGGTTTGTGGTTCAGTGGTAATGCACTTGCCTTGCATATGTGAGGCATTGGGTTCGATCCTCAGCACTACATAAAAATAAATAAATAAAATAAAGGTATTGTGTTCATCAATAACTAAAAAAAAATTAGTCTTAAATATGTTTAAAAAATGTACAATGCCTGATTCTAATAGATTCAGATGAAGAGCTGATTTATGATTGACATATATAACCTCTTGAGAAGCGTTGAATTAAGTGAGAATTTTATCATGGAAAAGATAAATTTTAACGAAGAGCAAACGTTGCAGGCCAGCCATGTGAACTATGGGCATTTGAGCTTATGGGAGAACTGGCCTGGTGTTGTGTGTTCTTTGGGCCCTGCAACAAACCTGTACACTTTCCTCTCTGCCTGTGTTCCCATATGGCACCTAAGATGGGCGTGACTTGCCAAGATGTCAATCAATCTACTGCCCACAAGCCTGTCACAAAGCTAGAGTTAGACTCAACCCCCTGAGACCTGACCCTTTGCCTTATTTGGAAAGAACACTCCATGGAACTTCCTTCTGTGTCCCCCTCTATAATAAAGAATTCAGGTGGCTCACTCTTTCCAATGGACTCCTAAGGTTGACAGCCATCACTGGACCCTGAGAAAAAGGTATTTTCTCTGTCTTTGTGTGATTATTTCGTGCCAACCCAAATTCACCTGGAGGGACCCTGAATGATTTAGTTGCGTGGTGAGGCAAGCAAGTATTCATTTTCAAATATGTGAAAGTGTACAAATTGGACAGAATGGTAAACTTTGTGTGATGGTCTCACTGGCTCTGGAGGTTGATGGCCTCTTCAATATGGTTTTCTACTCTAAAGAGTACAGCATCTCAGCAGTCAGAACTCAGGGCAGTGAATGTGCTTCCCTATAGCAGGAGCTTTCCCATATGTGTTCTAGTAGAGCTGGGCCATGAGAAATCATGGTGGGCATCTAGGAAAAAAATGGGCAGGAAAACCTTCTTTCTAGGAATAACTCCTTGGAATGAAAATGTTCCCTTTGAGGGAACGCTGGAAAAGAGGTCAATATAAAGAACCAATATGATCCAGAGAGTAGTTCTTAGTAAATAGAGTTCAGGAGAGGGTGAAGTGTTCACTGGCATTTGTGTCTATGTGTGTGTAAGTATTGATTGGGTGTGTGTGTGTGTATACGCACACACACACACACACACATATTTCTTGGAAACCATTTGGGATTTTTTTTTTTTTACAAAATTTTCTCCTGAATAACAAGTATTGTATTCAGGAGATAATAAATCTGATCTTAGAAACACAGATGAACAGAAGCCAAGATAAACTTTCTGTGGAGGCTCCTTTATTGAGGTGTAAAAAGAAGCCAGTCTGTCCATAAGACATGAGTTCATAAGGAAGAGCACAACTTTCTCTTTTCAGTAAAGGTGGCTCCGAATCTGGCTCCACCTGACCCAGAACATCAGCACAGACTGAAGGAAGTCAGTGAGAGCCCAGGGACACTGAACCATGAGGACATCACTGCTCTCTGTCCATGTCTATACAGAAGTCAGCAGTGTCCTTCGTGAAGAAATTGGACTTTTCCATTACTTTTCCTGTGGGAAGACATGATTAATAAGATTCATTAATACAAGAGGAAATCTTATAACATCTTAAAAACAACCTGAAATGATTTAGATTTGAGGTGTCCCCCAAAAGCTCACATGTGAGACAACACAAACTTGTCTATAGGTGAAATGATTGGATTATGAGAGCCTTAACCCAATTGGTGAATTAATTCCCTGATAAGGATTAACTGAATGGTAACTGCAGGCAGACAGGGTGTGGCTGGAGGAGGTGGGCATTGCAAGGTGTGCCTTGGGGTATACATTTTGTATCTGGTGAGTGAAGTCTCTCTGCTTCGTGATCATCATGCCCTGGCCTGCATTCCTTCATCACACATTTCCACCATGATGTTCTATCTCATCTTAGGCCCCAAGGAGTAGAATTGGCCATCTATGAACTGAGACCTCTGAAACCGTGAGGCTCCATATAAGCTTCCTCCTCTAAAATTGTTCTTGCCAGGTCTTTTGGTCACAACGGCAAAAAAGCTGACTAAAATACAACCATAGCTATTATGAGATAGAATCTTATTTTACAAATGAGAAAACAGTTCCAACTGAAGTCATGCTCTTGCCACAGGCTATTTCTGCCAAAGACAGGAGCAAAATTCCCCAAGACAAGGGATAATTCCATTCTGTCTGCTGTCTGTGCAGATCACAGAGCCTGGCTGATCACCATGTCTTGACACAGCAAAGAGGAGGACTCTGACAGTGGAAGTTGAGGGGCTGGTCCTTCAGCTTTCTCTGGTTAGCAAGGCCTTTGATGGAACTGGACCTGCATTAGGGAGGACTTCCGCTCTGTCCTTTGAGTGTCCCTTAAATGCAGCTCATTACCTGGCCAAGGGCCCAGTGTGTCTATGTTAGAAGATCTTTCCTTTTGTGAAATAAAACTTCCTAAATAGAAATAAATCTGTAGATATGTTCTTCTGGAATCAGTCCCAACTTGATATTCTAACTTGCTGAGATAATTACAGAGATGAAAAACTTAAGATCTAAAACAAGTCGCCAAAATCTAGTAGCTTAAAGAAGAGTTTAAAATGATACCAAGTGGACTTAGCGTGAGACAGGAAGTACTAATTTGCATGTCTTGCATCAAAAAAGTGACATCTGCCTAGTTACATTTCTTCAAAAACATTGTGCTTGCCGAACAAAATACCTAAACAAAACATATTCTTGGGATTCTGGTCTAAATACTGACAGCTGGCATCCCATATTTTAGATAAAAGAAAAACAGTCATTTTGGTTCCCTACCCCCTAGTAAGGATACAGATACTTAGAGCCTCTAGGAAAGGGAGGATAAAGCAACCCAAACCACGGTAGTCTAAGAAACGAGCGGCATTAAGGTTGTTATGTGCATCTTGGAAGCCATGTTTCTTGTGGAGTTCTGGACACTGTCTTCAAACAAAGTTGTGTGGCACTCCACTACTTAAAACTGAACTTGGGGTTAAAGACCACCCCAAATTGCCCACTTAATGCTTGTGGTGACTTCTGACTTGCCTTTGTAGGATCTCCGGGTTCAAGGACAGCAGTCTGAGAACTCATGGTTTCGTTAGGTTCCCACAACTGACAGATAGGAATCGGAGGTTCAGTAATTGGATGGGAGCAGTTCCAGTTGACAGAAAGCAGGCCCAACCCTGGTCTGACTGAGCAACAGCCAGTTTTCTGACCCTATCAGCTACTCTGGGTGGAGATTAGTATAGTTTATAGAGAGCTAAGCAGGCTCCTGGAGAGAGAATGGATTGTAGTTGAGAACCCTGGTCCCAGAACTTTTTCTTCCCATGTGATACTTACAAGGTCTCGATACACAAGTGACATTTATTTCCATATGTGATGTAGTCAGAACCACAAACTGGCATGTTTGTGATGGGGCAGGGGATGGCCACCACTGGGTACTTCTTGTAAATGCTGCAATCCACCTCCTGGTTAGACAGAACAGAATGCCCTGCTCTTTACTCAGACCTCAAGCAGTGTGACCCTGGCTACAAGAACTAGAAGTTTCAGCTTAGATCTTATGGTGTTGCTGAGGTTACCTTTATAAGTAATAATATCACCAATTTGATAAATTCTATTCTACTAGCACCATTTCTGTTTTTAATACTGTACTCAGTTAGCAACTGATGAGCATTTCTGTGCCAGGCACTTAAATTTTACATGAATATTCTTTGTTTAATATTTAGAACAATTGAATAGGGAAAATTCTGCTGTTTCCTCTATTTCTGGAGGGGAAAGGAAAACTTAGAAAGAGATATTACTTGTATATAACGTCAATGCTGGTAAGTGGTAAGATTGGATTGAAATCCAGAGCCTGGGCAATTAATTGAGGTGCTTCTGTTCTGCCTCTCACATGTTTTTCCTTCCATGAAAATGTTACCAGTCTCTTGGCTGGAAGTCAGCTCTTTTCTTTAATTCTGGAGTTAATAAAAATTTTCAGGTATGGTCGTATATATTTATGTCATATTTCTTCAATTACCTTCTGTGAGCACTGTGTTATTGTCCATGTTTGCCTCCCCATTTACGCTCCCCTAAACATGTTGAATTAATCATGCATCTATGTTTCACAAGTATTCATTGACTGACAGTCAACAGAAGTAGAAATCCAAGTATTATTTAACATACTCACTGTTTTTAAAGGTTGACTGGCAACTTCTGAAAGACAGATACAGATGGAAATGTTAAGAACAGAACAAAGCCTTGAAATCTCATTAACTAGTGTTTTGTTCTCATTCCTTTGGCAGTGAGTCTCAGCACACTCCTCAACTATATGTAAAATCTCAGTTCTTTGCTGAGGAAATTGAATGGCCAAAGGGTTAGGCAAGAGAATTATCTAAATATCCTTTCTTTATTAATGAAGGGCTGTCTTCTGGAGCTTGTAGTGCTTTTTATTGTGATTCAATGTCAATAACAGTAAGAAGTATTGGAGTGCTGCTTGTGACAAGGCTCCGTCTTTGCTATCCTCTCCCTCCCAATAGCCATAAAGGAATGTGATGGAATGCCTTATTTTAATCAGGCACATTTTTACCTTATAATTGTTTATTCTTGATCTCCGGATATGTGTTTTATGTTGATGCCCCTGTATTGATTTGGGAAGACACTTGAGTTTTCTTGCATCTTTGCACTAATAATAGTATCTAATAACACAGACAACTTCCCTTGTCCTTATAAAATGGAAGACTTAGGAAAAATTAGTTTTTTTTAAATCCATGGATGCAAATAAGAATCTTTGAAAATGAAAACATTAGATCCAACTCCCTCAAGCTCCAGTTGAAACACAAGAGTCTCGCTTAAGCCAGAGATTTTTTTTTTTTTCTTACAAACCAGCACACTTTAAATCTACCCAACCAGACATTTCTCTCAGACACTCACATCCCAGGAGGGATTATTTGGGAAATCTGCTAATGGCTGTGTGGAACACTATTCCCCCTTAACTCACCTGAGCTGCTGCAGAAATAGGTCACTGTGCAGAGCAGAAGGAGACCCCCAGTGATCTTCATGGTGCCAGTGGCTATGTCACAGAGGCTGCCCAGAGACAATCACACCACTGAATGGGCCATGCCCTAGGAAAGGGATCGTGTTTATATGGCCAGCCTTGCATTCTCCACCTTCCCTGTGAGGTCATCCAGACTCAGTGTTGGCACTTGAAAGGATCTCAAAGCAGGTCACACCCAGGCGATGTTGCAGTCCTTGTCACTTAATTGTTACTTCCTATTTGACCAATAAGTTGGTTATTTAAGGTGAGAGGTATACTTCTGACTGTTACTTAAAATTCTAAAGTTCACATAGAAGTGTTTAACTATTTCACTTATTATGAAATAAGTGAAAAATTCAAGCTTTCTTTATTTTACTAATGGAAAATATCAAGCTCAGACTACTCAGGCTGTAACTGTGTTTATATTTTGGCTTCTGGGAAATATATTTTTAAAAAACCTTTTGAAGCAATGCATATATAAAGAAAATGGGACCTGATGAAAGGAACAGGGGCTTTAGCATTTATGAGGCTGGAAGAGGGGCATTGCCATATTACTTTTGACATCTTCTAGCAGTATGGTATTGGATAAGTCATTTATAAGCCATGAGACCATATCAGTCAGAAAAGCTTTGTTGGACTGTGGTAACACAGCCCTGAGATTTCATGACTTATAATAATATAAATGGGTTCCCACGTATGGTAGGGTGCTGATATGCTGTGTTGCCTTCCCTTTGGCTGCCAAGTAGACTGAGGACTGCTTGGATTATTGCTATAAGGTGAAGCAAAGACATAATCCTGAGGATCTGCCTTCTCAGCAGTGAGGTATGCCTCCCAGCTCAGAAGCAACACCACTACCATTTCCCCTCTGTCACTGACTGGCCTTTCCCAACCACAGAGGTTACTTGTCTCCTGAAGGCCAGAAGGGGGAGATCTGGAAGTAGCTGGCAAACAGCCCAGAGATCACACCACAGTCTAAGTTTCATCGCCTGTCCATTGAGGTCTGTTGTTAGCCACAACACAGTTATGTAATTGGAACCTATTATGTGAAAGTCTGTCCTATAGCACAGTGCATTTGATTATGGTATCATGATTATTGATTTTATCAATGAGCAGCCCAGAGTCAATTCTATGAATTGCTTGTGTTGGCCAGGCACAATCGCCCAAAGAACTTCTCTTTATCTATTGAGCTCAGGGACATGTGTATGAAAACCTGGGGGAAGGCAATAGACTGTTCTATCAGTCCACTGCTTAGCAGGTTTATTTAGTACATTCTGAAACACAGCATTAACAAAACATATTATGTAAATAATAAATGACACAGAAGGACCTGCTCAAGTTTGAACACTTTTATCTTATGGAAGCAATATAATCTTGTGGTTAAGAACATAGGCATTGAGTCCAGTGGATCTCATTTGCAATCTTCCTCTGAAAAATGTGATTGTGTGCCTTTGAATATGTAGGTTACCTCTAGATAGTTTAATTTCCTTACCTCTAAAACAGATATTTATCATCCAGGGTGTTTTTGTGTGTTAAGTAAATCTTCATAGACACACACACACACACACACACGCTCACACACACATAGAATCATGTATTACTTAACAATGGGGGATGTGTTAAGAAACATGGGTCATTAGGCAATTTAGTTAATGTGTAAATATTGTAGAGTGAAATTACATAAACCTACATGACACAGCCTACTACACACTTAGGCTATTTATAGTACACATACTATTGCTCCCAGGGCCTTCTGAACAAAACATAAAATTAATCAAGCACAGGAGAAAATGATGCAATTAAGAGCCACAGTAAGCAAGAGATCCTTGAGATTGCAGCAGGCATCCCAAAGCATATTATTTTACAGTTATCTTTTTTATATAAGTAGGATTATATGGTAAAATAATGATAAAAGTGTATAGGATAGTAAATACATATACCAGTACCATTACTACTTATTATTGTTAATGAGTACTATGTGCTGCATATAATTGTATGTCCTATACTTTTATAAAGTAGTGGTACAGTAGAGCTATTTATTATAACAGCTCACCACAAATGTTCCTAATTCTTTCACTCTGACATTATTATGGCCATACCATTTCTAGGTAATGGGGAATTTTCAGCTCCATTGTAATCTTATGGAACCACGGTCATATATGTGGTGTGTTGTTGACTAATACATTGCTATCCAGTGCATGGCTTAATATATAACAATCTATTAGGGATGTGAATGTGTGATGAACGTGTATGTATCAGGGTGTCAAGCTCATAATTAGATCTGCATATAGGTAGCTGATGGTATGGAACATGAACTCTTTGAAGAAAGAATTTTATTTACCCTAATTTTACCAGTGAGTAAGTTAAGGCTCAGAGGGTTTAAGTCATCTTCCCAAGATCATGACATCAATTAGTGGAGGAGACTATGGAGTTCAGCCATGGAAAAAAAGTGAAGCGAAGGTTCTAATAAGGAAAGGTAATTGTCAGTTTTATTGTTTACTATGAAAGTATGAAGATAATGAATAATGAGAAAAAACTATTATGTTTTAAGTTGAAGTGTATTTATACACTCTGAAAATGTATTCTTAGCAAATAGGTGTAGGAATGGATTGAGGGGTGATCAGGAGTATGTGTGAATGTAGGGTTGTAAGTTATGTTTTTAGAAGATTGGTATATTGGTTGTCAAAAAAAGAGGAATGGAAAAGAAGCAGAGACTTCAACAAGGTCTTGGGTAGATTGCATATGTCTTAAAATCAAAGGCAAAAAAAAAAAAAGAAATGTAAAATACATAAGGGAGGGTGGCTAACTAGAAGCTGTTGAGGGGTAGGGAACAATATTAAGAGCACAGATGAAGCACTGTTCCCACTGACACAGACAGAAGACAAGTGCACAGATGAATATGGTTACTGATATTTTAATAGGTAGAGAAAGAGGGACAAGGGGGACCCATTGTGGGGCAGACTTGGGTAATTGAGTGCTGGGGTTTCTTTCTGCAGTGGAAAAATTGAGATGGCTTGGTAGCTTGAGAAAGAGGGAGAAGGCATGGCACAGTCATTGATGGGAATATATCAGACAGTTAACAGTGGATATAAAACTGATGGCCACTAGACAAATTTAGCACTCATAGTACCACACTCTGTATTTTTCCCAAAGTTCATTATGACACTAAATGATAATTGAAGAACAGTGATTTTATGCCTAGGAAATGAGTATGTCAGAGATTTGAGGGGACCATAAAGACTGTGTTAGGAGGTAGCAAGCTTTGGAAGAGAGTCAAGTATTCTGAAAGATTCTGATGGACTATGCAAATTATAAACCTTTTTGTGTTTAGAGGTCAAGGTTTAGGCAAAATGTAAACCTAGTAGGTGTGGAAAGCATGAAGGATTATTTACACAGGTTGTGGCTAAAGGGCAAAGTGTTAGATTTAATTTCTCAGGGGTGAGGCTGAGTTAATGATCCTCCAGATGTATTCAAAGATAAGGCACATGAAGTTTGGGTGGAGATGAAGCTCTCTAAATTTAAAAGGATGAGAAAATATGGATTAGGAGTAGTGTTGCTTTGGGTTTTGGCAGCTATTTATAGGGAGAGGAAATTTTCATGTTGGACACCAAGCCATGGAAGGTCTTTTGGAGATGAGGAATGAGTCTGTGAAGATAAAATGAGTCCATTTCAGGCTGCGGGTAGCTTGTTTATTCCTTCTTATATTCCTGCAGAGGTGGGGGCATAAACTTGAGCTTTGTAAGAGGATCTATCATGGAGACAGGTTCATCCTGGGGAGGGCAGAAAAACATAAAAGTGAAATAAGACAAGAGTTTGAGAGTACTAGAGATTTCTTTTCCAATAGTTTGGGGGTCACAGGAGGGAGCAGGATGGTTCCTTAAAGGGATAGAGAAAAATGAGGGAGTTAAATTGAAGTAGAGCCTGAACCAGGAATTCCTGGGTCAGTAAGTTGAAGGGACAGAGAGAACCCAGAACCATAGCTAAGGCAGTAATCCAGGGACAGAACAGTGGCTGTAGGAATGGAATATCATCAGGAAAACAAGCATATTGAGTATTTACTATGTGCTAGAACTGTGCTATGCCTGCTATGTGCTCTATCTCATTTAACACTTAAAGCAATCTTAAGAAACAAATATGGTAATTCCCCTTGTTATTCAGCTGAGGAATCAGGGACTTAGAGAAGTAGCTAGTTTCAGCTGAAGGGCCAGTACTTTTTAGTCATTTTGATGTATTCCCTTTAAATCTGAATCTAAGAAGTAGATTTGGAGACACATTGATTATGAAATAATAGGAGTAAAACTGGCAGAACCAGAGCAGTCAGGAAGGACAACTAATGTTTTTTTTCAGTATTTTTATTAATACATTATAGCTATGCATAATATTGGGTTTATTTTGATATACTCATACTTTTATGTAATATGATTTGCTCCATTTCAACCCCTAGTACTCCACCTTTTCTCTCTTCCTCTACTCTTACTGTTCTTCCTTTTATTTTTATTTTTATTTTGCTTTTTAATTGGTGCTCTATAGACATTCATAAAAGTGGAATTCACTGTGGCATAGTCATGTTTGTACATAGCATAGTTTGGTCAATTTCATTCAGTAGCTCCTCCCTTTTCCTGTGCCCCTTCCTCAGTCCTCTCCCTCTACACCACTGTGGTCCTTTCTATTTTCATGGTACTCCATCCTCCCCACTTAATATCTTATTTCTCTCTAGCTTCCACTTTTGACCCTTGACTTTTTGAGTTCACTTAGCATGATGTTTTTCAGTTCCATCCATTTACCTGCAAATGCCTTAATTGAATTCTTCTCTATGGCTGAGTAGAACTTCATTGTGTATATATATCACATTTTCTTTATCCATTTTTCTGTTGATGGGCACCCATCTTGGTACCTTAACGTAGCTCTAATGAATTATGCTGCTATAAACATTGGTATGCAGGTATCACTAGAGTATACTGATTTTTATTCGTTTGGGAAAATGCCAAGGAGTGGAATAGCTGGGTCAAATGGTAATTTTATTCACAG